GCCGCATATAACAATGGTGTCCGACCCAAGTTATCCTTTGAGTCTGCCTCAACACCTTGGTCCAACAATAGTCTGACCACTGCTTCATATCCACCTCCAGCTGCATAGGATAATGGTGTTCGACCTAAGTTATCCTTTGAGTCCGCTTCAACATCTTGTCGGCCTAGCAGTAGCTTGACCACCACTTCATATCCTTCAGCCGCATACGATAATGGCGTGCGACCACAATTATCCTTCGGGTCTGGCCTGATGCTGTCGTTTGAGAGCAGTAGCTTCATCAATTCGCCGTCCCTCGCAAGTAGATGTAGGATTGTCCTCCCTCCTTCGTCCTGAAGCGTGGTATGCTGAAAGGTTAGGACCCATGCGAGCCCAGGAGCCGCATATAAAAGAGACAGCAGGTCAACAGGTGTAAGATACTCGGCGGCAAGCAGGGTAAGCTCGACAGGGAGCCGGGCTCCTGCCCTAGACGCCCTCATCATGTTGCTTTCACGAAGATACGGAAACAGTAAATATAATTCACACGCCCAACTAGTCCTTCGCTGCGACTAAATTGACTATCTGGATTCCGGTGACGGAGGATGCTTCTGGATGATGGTTGGGGATACAAGTTGAGTGGTGAATTCTCGCGATGCCGACTAAACGGGCTACACATGTCTCACTTCTGGTGGCTTGTTCCCCGCAGGAACCGAAGCTCTTCTGCCTCAGGCATCAAGAGCCCGTGTGTGGTACTAGTTATGTACATACATACATTAGTAATCAAACAGGCCGCGTCACCGACATGCAGACGTGCTTCAAGGCCCTCGAGCTCAGTGCGACCCTTGATAAGGGATCGCCGATAAGCCTCGTCCATAGCAGCGCGGTTGTAGTTTTACAGCTGTAGCGACAATATCAATTGATATTTACAGACAGCTCACATCGCCGCACTAAGTGACCCTGGGGTCCGCTAGCCAGATACCTCCTCGCAAGGCGATCAAAAGTACAGGTAGGGCGGTTGAAGTAGGACGCGAAGACTGCGAAGTGGTTCGCTGGGGAACCGGAATGCGAAACCATTGACAGGTACTAGCAATTAGCAGAGAGGAAAAGTTATTCCAAGAGTACCACAACTCAATAGCCCTAACAGAATCGAATCAGCCACCGAGGTTTTCGGCATTACGCTCTCTCATCAGGAGGTATGGTGGTTGGAAAAATCATACAGACCCTTGGGAATCCAGGTTATGTAGGAGGCGTATGAGGAGCTTGCGCAGGCCCTCAGCTATGATACTAGCAGCGAAGACCCGATCCTGTTTCATCCCCACTAGCACGCGTACATGAAGCTATCCTTGGAGATTTCGCAGGTCCTTTTCTATTCTAGTTGTAATAGACACGCTTGTCGACCTCTGGAAACATTCAAAGTCTGCCTTAAGATCCCTCTGTCCCTTTTTTTTTTTGTTTCCGATTCGATTATTCTAGTTGGGTTTATTTCGAGGTACTGAAGATAGACATTGTGTACGACTGGAATTGGCACAGCCAGCCTTTCAAGAAGAATATACATGATGGTAAGAACATCATCTTAAGACTTATGTAGGATAGACGGCCCAGTCACACACACAGATGAACATAACTGTCTTTGCCATGGGTGACTGATGTGATGCTCATGCACCTTTATAATCTGTACATTTATCGTCTAGGGGACGTATTTGCCAAACTTCCTAAACTCTTCATCCGCCGCTAACCGCGCCATATCCTCTTCCCGCAACGAGAGAGCAACAGAAATCTCACCGTCGGGCCTCTTGGGCATGAAATAAATCAAACCTTCAAATGGAGTGAACTGTGGTCGTCGCACAGCCTCTGGCGTTCCAAGACCGAATCCGAAATCCAAATCATAGCAGTTGACACTTGCCCACGAGCTAATCATAATATCTGTCGACGGATTAAAACTCGCTCCAAAGGAGATGGACGATTTGTCCACGAGTCGCTTAATGTATGTTGCCAACGCGCGGGTGCGAGACGGCAAAGAAGATGTCTGTGGGTCTATTGCCGTTCTGAGTTGTGAGGCAATGGCGCCTAGAGGTTTATCGAGTAGACCTTGTACTGTATCGGTGTGGTATACCATGTTTTGCATGAGACCAGTGTATGTCGGAGGAATGCCAAAGTATCTCCGTACGTCAACAGCACGACCAAATGTTGTGCTATGAGATGGTGATAGCCGCTTCAGGCGGGCACGAAGCACCGATTGCCAAACGAAGGCGCTTAGTGCATCATCTGTTGATATGAATTCTGAGGCCTTCGACTGCTCAGCAAGCAATTTCAGTCTAGCGAGCGAGGTTTTGTCGAACGAAAAATATGACCAGGTGGACTTTGGGGGAGGTACAGATGGCTGCTGAGGTCCCGGCCTAATTATTTGACGGTCGAGTTCCGGCCCGGGTTCATACGAGCCATCCAGGAGGGGAACGAGGTCGCCATCCACTATATTCCCGGACTCTAGCTCGAATTCTGTATATGTGTCTCCCCGGCATGCTTTTGAAAGAAGGTGGATAACCTGGCCCTGACCAGTCATGTCCATTGTGTTATGGTGGCCAACAAGAGTGAGGATTAGGCCGCCATGAATGAAAGTAGCCTGGACAAGAAAGGCCGGTGAGACAGTATCTTCCTCAGGGCTTGGCAAGGTTTTTCGAGGAGCAATGATGTTCTCGTCTAACATCCGAAAGGGGAAATTGGCGTGTCTCAAGTCGTCCATGGTGGGTACGTTGGGATCATCACGAAAGTCTTTCACGACCAATGGTGGAGTATTCCCAAGTGCTTTGATTTTGAACGCACCAGAATTGTCATGGCCGCTGCCTTCACTGACTACCTGACCTGCTACCCACGGGAAATTAATGGACAGTGTTTCGAGGCCTTTCTGTAGAGTCTGGACTACCTCGGACTGAGATGAGACATCGAAAGGAAAGCAGAGGCAAATCTGTGTGTAAAGCCTGAGGGCAGGTAGCTGACCCAGGAAGTCCAGCTTGACATGTAATTCATCCATGATGCACGATGGTACTGCTTCCGAAGGACTGTCTATCACTATCGTGATATATAAATCGAACGCCACTCATGATGCGGGGATGATTAATTATGAATCATATTAGCTCCTGGCCAATAGTATTTTTGAAAGTGGCGATTGTGGATACCAGATGGATCCTAGGGTTCGTAATCTGTTTTAACCGCGCAAGTCTGAATGCACTCGTTTAGACTGTGCCAAGGACCACGAAAAGGGGCTAGTTAATACTGTTGGCCCTGGATAATGGAATGCCCAGCCAGGTACAACTGGTGCATCCAAACAATAGCCCACGTCACTCGGACTATAAACCTCCGAGAAACAATCAGGTTGTCAGCGAAGATAGAATCTCTTTTAGATGGTTCATATTGGCTGGCTTCGTGAGAAAGAGATCGATACCACTCCTCATTGCATCTCTCTTCATGGCCGGGGTATCGACTGCAGTCAACGCGATGATTGTCACCGGGCGCAATGAATTACTCTTTTCATACTCGCGTATCTTCTGAGACGCGGTTACACCATCCATGACGGGCATCGAGAGATCTGACCAGTTAATAAAGGTGCTACAAAGCGGAAGAGTGCTATCTTACCCATGATAATGGCGTGAAAGGTCTCACTCTCCGCTTTCTGTACTGCTTCAAGCCCGTTTACAGCACTTTCATAAGCAAACCCGGCTTTCTTCATAGTAGTTTGTAAAATCTGGCCTGACGGTCAACAAGGTAGTACACAGGGCATCGTTTCGTTCATACCTTGAGGTTCAGGTCATTGTCTTCGACGAGGAGAACCTTGCATTGATTCGTTGGGTCCTTCTCATTGAGTGATATAGAGTCCTGGTTGTTTGTGGGTTCTCGTTCGTGGACAAACCCGTTATTTTCATCCGACTGCTTGTGATCTTGCTTTTCACCTTCTGGTGATATAGACGGGGCGGTTTGCAACCGGCGTCGGCACGTTTCGTCAAGATTGACTGTGGTTGGTTCATGCACCATGTCGACACCTGCATCACGCAATTGAGTCCCTTGTTCAATACAGCTCATGAAAGCAGAAGCTAATGTCTTGGGGGAAATCGGTTGCTGAAGAAACACCACAGGCTCTTGGGGGTCCCGGGGCTCATTGAACCAACTATGGGCATGCGTACAGAGGACAATCTTGGGAAACGAGGTTTTTGGATTTTTCCGGGCTTTTGACTTCCTATAATAAGTGGCTACGCTTTCTTCAGCCTCGCCATAGCGGTATTCATGCTCAGTAATGATGAAAATGTCCGGATGTTCGCGGTCCCGTTCATTAGGTGTAAGAACAGGCACCCCAAACCATTGAGTGATCATCCTTTCCATACTGAGCAACATTGTACTAAAGATCTCCGGGGCTATCTTCAGGTCTCCGTATTTGGAGCTATTGGGAAATAAGGAGATCGTTTTTCCTCGCAATTTCTCGCGTAGATCCCCATACGGAATGGAAGGTGAAGACGGTCGCGAGGTTGGGGTTATAGGTAGCAGGACGCTGACCACCGTTCCTCGATTAGGCTCGCTTTTTAGGTCTATCAGTCCACCCATCGAATGTACGATACGATAGACTACATTCAGTCCAACACCAATACCTGGCGAGAGAGAATCTTCCTGCTGAAATGGCGTGTAGAGGTTTGAGAAGGAAAAGTCGGGTGAGATTCCCCGTCCCGAATCGCTTATTTGGAGGAGAATAGCCGGTAGGGTCTCGTGTCCGACCTTAACCGTGTCATGTTGAAGCTTTACCTGAACAAACCCAGATGGCGTGAACTTCAGGGCGTTGCCAAGGAGATTCAGTACAATCCGCCGCCAGGCACCAGCAGAGGCACGGCATTCCCAGCCATCCCGACATTCAATATCCACGATCGCAAAAATCGCCCTAGGAATTGAATTGGGGATATTTGACTCGCGAAACGGCCGGTCGGCCGTTTGTTTTGTGGGAGAGAAAAGGGCCTCCGCATTACGTCCCATATAGTCTTGGCTGGCGAGGAGCGCTCCAGCCACCTCTTCGACCAATGTAGCCATATTCACCTGATCGATCAAAGCAGGAGCATTAAATTGGGATGCTTGAGGTGTTTCAGCATTCTCTAGCGGTCGATCAAGCGTCGTTGGTCCAAGAATGCTATTGATTTTGGCATAATCTAATACATGATTGACCGTATCAAGGAGGGTTTTCCCACAGTTCATGGTTATGTCAATCAAGGACTGTTGGACATTCGACAACTTGCTCTCTTGAAGAATATCAAGCATAGTGAGTATACCATGGAGGGGAGATCGCCACTCGTGTGACACTGACGAGATAAAATCAGCCTTCTCGCGATCCGCAGCTCGCAGATCTAGACGGGAAACTTCTGCCATGACGCTGTTATTGAACGCTGCAAGATACGTTAGATCTGTGGACTCAGCAAAGAGACGCCCAGAATCTTTTGTCCAGGCAAAACAACCCGCAAACCACTTATTTTGTTGAAAATCCCACAGAGGAAAAAATGCAATACTGGTCGCCTCGGAAAACGTTTGAGCAATCTGACGCATGTCAATGCCATAGTAACTCGACGCCATATCTTCTAGCGAAGAGCAGGACCCGTCGATGTCCGACGAATACTCGTCGCTCAAAGGCGAAAGCGTGTCTTCACCAAGATGAAAGATACCGCCTCTTCCATAACGTTGGACCAAAGTTCCCAAAAGCGATGTCGAAACGTTTACATCCTGATTGTCACCCCAGACTGTAGAACATCCCAACACATGGCCCGCCGAACGTTCGTCCTCGGCTATATCCGGGGATCGGGAACGTGAATTGCTCGACGCGTTGAATGAGAGACCATGGCGCTCGTTATTGAACGCGCTAATGTCCAAGAATGCAACGCCATCCACATCCAGGGCCTGTCGAATTAAAGTCGATGCCCGGTGAAGAACCGAATATGTCTCTTCGGAAGTCAGAGACCCTCGCCGTGCTCGGCGTGGGGGCGATCGGGAGCGATAGGAATTTGGACGACCGCGCAATGGGATGCCCAGTTCGGTTTGTGGAATATGGGACGGAGGTATATCTAGCGTCTTCTGACTGTTGGCAAGATGGATGGAAGTCACAGGATCAAGGTATCTGGACGGTTCAAAGACGGGAGGTTGCCGCCCAGGATGGCTGGAGACCAACCATTCCTCGATATCCGATTTCCCTCCCATAAAGGCGCCCAACGCCTTGATCATTCTCTCGCCTCGATGCTCTTCACGCATTGTTCGCAATGTAGCCAGATGGTCCAGCACAGTACCCGCCCGACCTTGAAGAAGCCGGGACTGTTTGCCATCTACTTCATTGCCTTTGGCGCTCCCATATAACTCGATAATCCCAATGGCGACGCCAGCGGGAGTTCGGACCGGGACTGCAAGATAGGAGGGATTCCTGGAGAGTGTTGACCAATAGGCATCAAATCGCGAATCATGCGCAAGGTCCGCGACCAAGAACCAATCCCTCTTGTCTTCGATGAACGCAATCATAGCGTGGTGGTACGGTGCGGTATTATCACGACGCCATTCACGTTTGTTGCGATCGATTGTTGGTGTCTCAGCCAAGACATACTGCGTCTTGCGGTCGCATAGAGAAATAACAACACGCTCGGCACCCACTTGCAGGGCAGTCAGCTGAGCAAGGCTGGTTAGGATATCTGATGATGACGCTTTTTCGGACGAGGAATTATGGGGTGGTAGGTACCTGTAGCGATTCACAAGGTCAGATGAGTGCTCCGAACAATGTTTGGTGAGCATGGTCATACTGGTGCGCTTCTCTCTCACGAAAAAGCTCGTTGCGCCGCGCATGTTTCCCCCGCCGCGGGGGATGAGGCGAGGAGTCTCTGGCGGACATCTTCTCGAGGAACCAAGCCACAGCATGGATGTGTGTAAATAACAAGAAGCGGAGCGAACATTGTGGCAGCAGCAAAAGAGAACGAATGTGTGTGGAAAGGTTGGAAGTGGCAACGTTCTGGTTGAGCTCGACAGCTCGGAGCCTGGACCATGGCTAAGGCTCCCCACTCCGAATTTCTGCCTGGTTATTGGCGGCCCGCCGTGCCGGCAGTAGTTGTGTCGTAATCGACAAATGAAAACTCCCAGATAAATTAATCCAGGCACATTAAATGGAGTACTAAGCCAGTACATAATTCAGGTTTTGAGATCACAGGGGAAACTATGCAATCTAATACGCTCATCGTACGATCCTGAGTCCTCATTACGTGCAGGCAACTGCCGATCATCTCCCGCGTTAACATATTATCCCTACTGCGTACAGTATAGAACAGGATTTCTATTCAATTGATCCATCACACAAGTACAGAGTGATGTACTTGTTCATTACTATATTCTCGACTCTATCCCGACTTCGTTTTCTTCCATAAGCTGGGGGAACTTAAGCTCATCGTGTTCTCACGTTATAGTCACTGTATGGATGACACTCTCGTCTGATTGTGCCAGCGCGACACAAAAGTCCCTGAAATACTAAGGAGCATAAATCGAGCCAGGTGGATGTTATTGTCGCAATTTGCAGCAGTATGGACTTGAGATCTCGGTCTATTGGTCATACACGGTGGAATGATTGCTGGTCGCCGGTTTCATTCATGGTCGGATCATGAAGGATGACCATAGCGGGCGGAATCTGTCTCCAAATTGAATTATTCCTTTGATGACAGAAGTCCTTTTGACAACAGCGACATGAGTCCACGCCTTGTTCTCTAAACATTGACGATCCTCGTCTGCAGTCAGAGAGATGCTACACTGTAGGATGTGAGGACACTGTCCTTTATCCCACTCCCGTACTTGCAGACGATGTCTGAGCCGACGACTTGGTTGGTACAAACCAGAACTTTTGAAGTATGGACAGCGTGTTGGGACTGTACAACTCATCGGAACAGATTTTTATCTTGTTTGATTGCCTTTATGTCATTCTGTATCGGACTTTCCATGTCTCCTTGCTGGGATTTGCGAAGGAGGTGTCTGTCATGCTAGTAAGATGTCAGTGGCCGAGACATAGATTTGTACTCGCGATGGAAGATATCCTCTGATGTGATAGTAAGGGAAGACGTCTATGATCACGTTCTTATGCGGCGAAAAGTGCTAGCGTTATTTTATCTGCAAGACCTCACGGATCCATGTAGATAGAGGTATCGTTTTCCTTTCTGGAGCAACTGCCACTTGATCGGTGTTTATCATTTCAGAAACAGGTCTGAGACGATGGGAAGAGGGACTGGGCATGTGGTTAACAGGCTTTGCATCCTCACGGGCCTAGCATATCTCCTGAATGTGAACGATCTGGAGGCATCTACTAGATGAAAGTGAAAGCGTTCAGCTCACGTGGAAATTGCGAAGTCCGCATTACATAGAGTAGCAATGATAAGAGAAGGCCCAATACGAGTGCGGGGTGGAGATCGCGACCGTCGTGAAGTATCAGTTCTGTTTAAATAATGGATGCTATGGGCATGAACACATTAACCTCTTTATTCAGCATTTGAAAGAAACTGCGAAGGGTAACAAAGCTCCAATCTATACCACATGATGGCTATCGCCCCCGGGTATATTGCTCGAAATTAGCCAAAAGTCGCGATACAAAAAGAGACATCGGCACAACTCCGACACCCCCACGAACATCCCACTTGACGCCTTCGGCCATGAAAGCGACTCCCGAATGGATTGTCTCTCTTTATTAACCGCTGTGAATCCCATGTAGGCTACGCGTATTCTCAGAAAGACAATTGAATAATTCAGGAATATCTACTTGTCACTCACTGTCATCATGTCCAAACCTACCATTGGCTTCGTGGGCCTAGGAGCCATGGGCTTCGGCATGGCCACTCACCTTGTCCACGAAGGTTACCCTGTCCACGGCTTTGACGTATTCCCTGCCTCAGTACAACGATTCCAAGCAGTCGGGGGAATTCCTGCAGCATCACTGCGGGAGTCTGCAGAGGGAAAGTCATTTTACGTGTGCATGGTTGCATCCGCGCCTCAGGTGCAATCGGTCTTGTTCGCCGATGAGGGCATTGTACAATGTATCTACTCCCTTCTTACCCCCGCTATACGATCTCTATGTTATAACAAGCATATCGTAAAGTGCTAACAATGCAATCTAGACCTCCCCCAAAATGCCACCCTCCTCCTTTGCTCCACCGTCCCCGCCTCCTACGCCCAGTCCGTCGCGGCAGAACTGCAATCCCGCGGCCGCGGCGATATCCTCTTCATCGACAGTCCCGTCTCCGGTGGTGCCAAACGCGCCGCGGACGGAACGCTCTCCATCATGGCAGGCGGTACAGACGAGGCACTTGAAAGCGGCCGCGACTTGCTACAGACCATGTCCGCGCCGAGTAAACTGTACCTTGTGCCTGGGGGCATTGGAGCAGGAAGTAACATGAAAATGGTACATCAGGTTCTGGCAGCTATCCACATCCTCGGGGCCAGTGAGGCCATGGGACTGGCAGCGCAACTGGGTCTGGATGCGCGCGAGACGGCGGATAAGATCATTGGATCTGATGCGTGGACGTGGATGCACGAGAATCGGTTTCCACGCATGGTGGAGGAGGACTGGAATCCTGGTGCTAGCGCGTTGACTATTATCCTGAAGGATGCGGTAAGTACTCACTTCAGCATTGGGAATGTGGAGTATGGGGGGAATATTGACGATTGTACAGGGTATTATTACCACCTCCGCCCGCCAACACCGGTTCCCGATACCCCTCTGTACCGCTGCTGAACAGATCTATATCTCTGCTTTACTACAGGGGTATGGACCTAAGGATGACTCGGCCATGGTGCGCCAATACTTCCCCACTCCTATCGCTTCTGTAACGGCATCTGCGGAAGATAAGAGCGCTGCGCTGCAGCTGGTCCTAGACCTGATGCAGGGTGTCAACCTGGTCGCTGCTGCGGAAGCCGTTGCCTTTGCGCGATACCTCAAGGTCGATCTCGCGCAGTTCCACGAGCTTGTCAGCGCCGCCGCGGGCGCTAGCAAGATGTTTATGACCAAAGGTCTGGAAATGATCAAGGGGCAGATCGGCAAGGAGGCACCCGCCGGATCACAAACAGTTGACGAGGCTATCACAAGATTAGAGGCGGTGGTACAACAAGCCAGGGATCTGCATTGTCCATTGCATTTGGGCAATGCGGCACTGAATGTGCTTTTCACTGCTCGGAGGGCTGGGTTGGGAGCCGAGGGTGCGACTAGTGTCATCAAGGTATTTGGAACGGAGTAGATTGTAATTAAAGTGTTAGTTTTTCACGAGATACCGAGTTTGGATTATGTTATGGATATACGAGTAGCAATTCAGGCACATGGACCCCTGACGTCAGTCGGAGGAACTCCGGGGTCGGAGATCGGAGCGAGTGGGGGTTCACCATCGCATCGCCTTTCATATGCTTTGCGACAATACATATAATAAACCCAATGTTCCACTATCTGGTCTCTGATAATCACCTTCCTTGTCGTACTTGATCTGTCTTGAACGGGAGACACAAACAAAAGCCATTCAAGATGTCTCTCTCCAACAATCGCGCCCTCGATATCCTCAACCACGCCGCCTCAAACCACTATGGCGTCCCCGCAATGTGCTGCTACAACCTCGAGGGCATCCTAGCCACTGTCCGCGCCGCCGAAGCCAAGCGCTCGCCAGCGATGATCCTCCTGTTCCCTTGGGCCATCCACTACGCCGACGGACTCCTCGTACACGCCGCCGCCGAGGCCGCGCGCAAGGCCTCCGTGCCGATCACCGTGCACATGGATCACGCGCAAACACCGGAGATTATCCGCTATGCGGCAGACCTGGGCGGGTTCGATAGTATCATGGTTGACATGTCACACTACGAGAAGGAGGAGAACCTCGCCCTCACGAGAGAGCTAGTCGCGTATTGTCATGAGCGGGGGATTGCGACAGAAGCGGAGCCCGGACGGATCGAGGGCGGAGAGGATGGAGTTGCGGACACAGCCGATCTGGAAGGATTGTTGACCACACCGGAGGAAAGCATTGAATTTGTGAATACGGGGATCGATTGGTTGGCGCCTGCGTTTGGAAATGTCCATGGCGAGTATGGGCCCCGCGGCATTCAGTTGGAGTATGACCGGTTGCAACGCATTCATGATACGGTTGGAGATAAAGTCCAGTTGGTGCTGCATGGAGCTGATCCATTTACGGAGGAGATCTTTTCCAAGTGCATCGAGTGCGGTGTTTCCAAGATTAACATTAACAAGGTGCTGAATAATGAGTACGTGCGTGTGCAGAGGGAGAAGGCTGGAAGGGTGCCATTGACAGCTTTGTTGGAGGAAGCTACGAATGAGATGCAGAAGGCTGTGGAGAGGTGTATGGATATGTTGAAGTCGACTGGGAGATACCCTTGATTTTGTTTGTAAGAGCATAGATAGCAAAAGATATCGTCGGATACTTGAAACTGTTTTCGTTCGCTTCCCTTCTCAATTGATTAAAAAAACATACTATAGGCCCGCTAGAGACACAATAAATATCTAGTCATGAATCACCTTGTTGATGAGAAGGAATCTAAGTCTGAGACGTCATAATCTATTCCCAGAACCCAGTACATAGAAGATCTTAGAACATAACGCTTTGCGATTACGGATTGAAAGCTCCAGCCTCTCTCGGCAGAGCTCTCTTTCGGTTACCTCGGCTACCCTCTCGAAATAGAGCGAGGGCTATCACGTACGAAGTGCGAGGTGAAGGTCCCAAATACCGCATACTTCATTTAGATGAGTCTATTATAGATCGCACATCGGCCGATGGCCGACGCCACTAGAGCTCGGGTGTCCACTCGGCTCGGCTGTCCATTCAACCGCAATAGCACCGACAAGAGTTCACCCAGATCAGGTTCCAATTTTAAGTACGCCTAAAAGCTATATTACCATTTATTTAAAAAAAAAATAAAATCAACCCTTCCCGGAGCATCATCCAATGCCCAACCATGCAGCTCTAGGTCGGGATATAACGGATATCAAGCGATCGGGCCCTTCATTGTGACCGGACAAAGGACGCTAGGATCAACATGGTACTATCTCACATCAGAACTCCAGGTCACTAAAGACAACCCGCATCATGGCGCCCTCCAGCGGCAAGGGGTCAATGATCTTCTCAACATATGCCGGCCAGTCGTCAATCCATTGCAATAGGGGGAAGATATGAGCGTACTCCCAATACGAAGGATACCATCCAGCCGTTTCCCAGTCCACAAGAGCAGCTACTTTATACTCTTCCTCTTCATCATTTGTGATGGGATTAACGATCTTTCTGACAAGAACATTCTCTCTGTAGATATCTCCATGGGTGAACATAGGCGGATGATCACGAAGTACCAATGGGAGATGGCGAGCGAGATAGTCGGAGAGAAAGCTGTGCCTATTTGATTCGCTCCACATAGCTTGTGAGCGAAGTACGATGGCCTTTCCGAATTCTTCTTCCGTTTGAAAAGGGCCGGTAACTGCAGGGTCATTTTCACGAGAATAGAAATACCTATGGGGAACGGGTCCTCCATTAACACTGCCGTAAAATCCTGGGGGTGGTAGAGCTCTCATTTGATCAAAGATACATCGCAATTGTCCAACAATTGAAGTTTTATTTTTCTCAGTAAGCGAGGGCCACGCCATCCCTAGAGAAACGCTAGGGATGTATTCCATCACGATATACAGAGTGTCCTGATTGTAGTACATGGCGTAAAGTCGTGGCGCTGCGATATTGAGTCGGCTTTCGACAAAAAGAAGAGCATATCCCTCATTTTCTGTCACAAGCGGGCCGTACTTCACGACATACTTGTCTCTGATTACGACCAGGCGCCCACCATAATCTGATCTCTTGGGGAGGGTTTGTGTTGCCTGTTCAATCTCATCCTGATCAGGAAGAGGCCCCGGTAATTGAGCAGCATCCCGATAATAAGGAAGAGAATATGACATGGTTGGAGGAGCAACGTCCCACTGAATGGAATAGCTGATGGCCAGTCGAGGATGCGGCCTATGGTTCAGGTTTATTAATCTATAGATTAAGGATTATTTAGCAAGAGAGAACGAGCTATACCCCGTTTTTCGGCATTAGGAGTCGTTCGCGGGTCGGGTTTTCGACATGCCGACCGGCTGTAAGCACGGGTGTCCGGGCCAAAATGTGACTATGAAGGTATGATCCGGCCCTAGGTCAAGGCGCCTGCCTGTACTTCTGGGAAATGAAAAGGTGAACTTTACATTACATGCTCCGAAATGTGAGCCTTATTTTCTGCAGTCGCTTTCGGTGGTTGAATTCGTTGTGCGGATTCTGGACACAAAAGAGTTGCCTCACATAGCTTCAGCCTGGTAAAGCCCTAAGAGATGTTGGAGTGGCCATAAGATAATCGTCATCATTAAGTTGATTGTACTATAAAATCCGGCTCTTATAGATATATGACTGGCCACAACAGCTTCAACAGGAGGAACCCTCCCACAATATTCTCCTAACCCCATGGCATAGTGCCTTCCTTGCACTACCACGTATACCTTCCGGCAAGCCAGCCAGACCTGGTCACGCTCATTCTATCTAATACATCTCCAGAGACATACCATCGTTGATCTCATAATCACTGAGTGTTATATGATCCTTATAAATGGTATACCACTTCTTGAGTTGGATCTAAATTACAGATCAGTTTTCTTTTTCCTGCCATATATACCTGCTAGAATGGGTAGAGGATACCTTGCTAGGGTCATGCCCAGTCTGCTCTCCTAAAAGTTTCTTCAATTCACCGACGGTGATTTCCGAATCGCATTTAACGTGGAACTTTCTCCCCAAACGGTCGGTACTGGGCATTAACATAAGGTTAGCAGATAATGCTGATTAAAAGGAGGGGAAAGGTGCGTACGCCGTTACTTCGATTAAGGTCATTGTATCTGAATTGTTATGATTTGCCTTGGTGGAAGATCTCTCAGACGTTCCTTCGGATGGTTTTTATAAGCAACCGGAACGATGCGGGCTTAGAATGTGTGGCTTGGTATTGCAAACTACTACGAGAGGGTGCTGTGGGAACGTTTAAAGCGGTCGAACGCCTAGATGGCAAACAACCTGACCGCCTATACCGCTTCCTAAAAAGGCAGGGATCTGAGGTCTTAGGGGCTTACCCTAACTGACTATCCTAATCTATTCTAGGCGGTTTGATTTTATAGTGAATCGCTCCGTCCGCTCCACAGGGATCCACATGATCTTGTCGTACCCTCTCAGCTCGAGACCGCCACGATCGCCCTTTTCCCTTTCCTCTTTAGCTTCGCTTGGGTAGTCATTTGGCTTCAATAGTATCCTATTATAATAGCATTATCGGACTAGGAATAGTGCTGCAAAAGTAACATTCTTTTCTTTGAAATTAAGACGGCACAAGCGGACGAGGTGCTGAGAAGTAAGCGTATGCTACAAAAAGCTAGTCCAGTCCGTTTACTATGACTACTAAAGTGTCTTGGAGTGAACTGCAGAGTAAGAAGAGCCTTCCATTCAAGTAGCTCTTACACTGATCAAGTTATCATTTAAACGCCTTGAATCGGGATCTCTAGGGCAATGTGCAAAGGTGCCAATCGATGGATTGTATTAATCTTCACGGGTCTAATATTTGTCAGTTCTATGCCCTGTACGCCCACTGCATCTACGTGATCATTGAATAAAGCTGGCTCACAAGCGCCGAATCACAATCTTCCGCATCTACTTCTGAGTTGACTGATTTGTCTACCACTTTCGCGGAGGTCAGCTTCGGTTCCCAAACCTGCCCCAATATAGGTGGAGCTTTCTACGCACACAGGAAGCAACATCCCTGCAGGATAATCATGATATCAGGGTTCGTAGTTGCCTCCAACTCGGAAGATCATACCAGGAGTACAGATGCCATAGAAGTTCAACTTCTACTCACCTCTCTACATACATGATCGATCACTCTTTCTCACAGGAAAGCAGCAACACAGTAGTCTAGCTCTCATTTTCACTCTGAACTCAAACCTCTACTCGTTTACAAACATGGCCACCACAGCGTACTATCCATATACGCCTGGCGCACCTTTAGCGATCATTGGTGTAGTCGCTTAGACCACACTAGCAGGTATACACGCGTTTCAAGTAGTTGCAAGGCAGGCTTGGGACGGGAGCTTCATGGTTCTGGGATGTCTCAGTAAATGTGTCATAACCATCGCTCCATAGCATATCTAATACAATTCCCAATAGCCCAATCCATGGGTTGTGGTGCCCGATACATTTCCTCCGGGAACATATACGACAAATGGCCCTGGCCCTTGCGGTATTAATGGCCATCGCAATTGCTGAGAATGGGGTCCATGCTGGCCACTGACTCCTAAAGGCTGTAGCCATTATCCGACTGGTTTTTTCTGGATCTTGATCCAGCTTAATAATGCAGAGTCGCCTAATCATCATCCACGCGAAGCCAGGGACAATGTGTATCCGATGCCAAAGTTCAGTGACTCTTATCATGTGCTCCAGGATTTCTTTATGGTCACGCTCGTGCACAATATACGGCTTTATTCCGGAGCGGATGGTTTTATGAATGCAACTGAGTGGCCAATGTATGCTTTGGATGTATATCTGGTGGCGCGTCCGGCGTTGGAAGGGCGCTTATGGTATTGGCCGGGCGAGGGTAAGAAGGGTGTTGGTAGGTAGGACGTTCAATTTTAGTATAGGGATAATGTGGAGGAGGTCCATCGCCTTGTCGTATCAAGGTCCAATAATTAGAGAGCGTGCCATGAAAATGCGCATCTCTGGTTAAGGGATGATAATGGGCCCCAGTGTACAGTTCGTCAAGTTCTTCCCGGGCTTGCTCTCACGTGGAGTCAGGTCCCCATGATTCATCGGTAGATCTTATAGAATGATATGGTATTGAATAGAAACTATGGTATCTGCAGTAAGTGGCGTTGCATCTTCCATGCATGGCTAGCTATTCCCTGAATCAATTCTATTACTTTCTAACCGACAACGCCGTTGAGACAACCTCTATAATGAAGAGAATCACATTCTTTCTCGGGATTAGACACACATATGGAAAGTATCTTCAGTCCAGTAGTCTATGCTGACCCTCAGCCCTGATATTTATTAATCACGAGTCGCCTGAAATCCGGATTTTTGAGCATCGGGTTCTTGAACCCGCGGTCAAGGTGTCTGCGACAGATAGCTTCAATATGCTCTTCATCCCTGGCTTGGATTTGCTTGATCAGAACAGATGACGGTAGTTTGTTGTGTTTCTCTGTTCTTGGCTCTGCTGTGTGTTAGTGTCGCTCAGGCACAACATGTGCATATATCTCTTGGTTGCCTTACTTGTGGAGAAGTCGCTTGTATTTAGATTGACTTGATTCCTTAGTCCTGTAGTGCAGTTTATTATACCGTAGTCCTGCTTTGCGGATGGGCGCGACCGGTATGCTTCAATGCGAGGGTTGTCGCTCGGCGGGAATTCGGACTCCTGTATAGATACTATCAGTGGTCATATTCCATAAAAAGGTCGGAAATGTCTCATACATGGTATGATGCTGCTGTATCGGCTACAGTACTCTCTTTATCTAGTGTTTTGGCTCCCTTCACCCCTTTCACACCATATGCAACGGTATTAACGACCAGTGCGGTGCCTGAAATGAAAAGCCCGGTCAGCAAGATATCTATGGAGGTAAGGAACGGTGTTGAAGAATCTCACTTGTGAAAGGAAGCAGAGCGACGTTTCCAAAGAATCTCGCCGTACCGATACCAACGCCCTTGGCCAGATTCTTTCTCTTCGACTTTTCTACACTGCTGTCGTCGCTCTACCGCATTTTAGTCATTCATACAGAAGACCGTCCAATTACCAAAAGCTCTCACCTTGCGTTGCATCCCGGGCAGCATGCTAACCAAATCCGAGGCCGTGGCGATGTTCTTTGCAGCAATCGTGGCCCCGTTCCAATAACCCCTTGTAGTACCTTCAAAAGGCTTTGAGGTTTCGCACTGGATATTGTAAGTCCGGCGGGTGATCCTACAAATTGTCGCCGTCAGAAGTGAACATGGTATGGTTCCTTTCGTAAGGGACAAGCTCACAACACAATATCAGTCTGCTTTATGAGCCGCTCTTCCAGCAGAACTGCGGCTGCTTCGGGAGAGATCCTCGACGATGGCTTATTCCAGATCTGATACATAGCCATGTTCTGGTGCGTGATGTCGCATTTCTGGACCTGCGGTGGTAACCAACGATAAAATGCTTGAATAGCGCTCTCAAGACCTGATTCATCGTGGACCTGCCTTTGAACAACACGAGTTGACTCTTGCATATCTTGACGAAGGCAGAATTCTAGTGCCTGGTATAATGCATCGGAAGAAAGCACGTTATTCGTGAGCGGTGCAGCTGCTGCACCAACGGAGGAAAGGCTTATACCTCGTGATAGCTGACTATGGATGTATGTTAGTGTGATTGGAATGCGAAACATTCTGTTTTTGGAGTGGGCGTACTCTGTTGTATGCGGGATTACTACACTTGGCTTTCCATATTGTAAGGCCAGTGCGCTCTGCTCTGCACTTCCTGAGTGGACAACAGCGGCAACCTGCGGTAGAAGCCATGCTGTATGTTGACTTGCGTTAGAATTTGTCTGGCTAGTGCTATGTTATACGTACCATGAGGGATATTCTCGACCAGGAGCACGTTATCGTCATTTAGAATCCTACAAATATCACGGCAGTCTTGTGACAATATGACACGAAAGCCGTGCTTTACGGTATCCTGTATGGCTCGTGTCAGCATACCTGGGCTTTCCATGGTGTGCTCTTGCACCATGAAGTATATCGGCGGTGAGCCAGACTGGATGAAGTCGCTCAGGTCGTGCGCCGGGCTATATTGTGCTTCCTCATCTGTAAATACATAGCCGGACGCATCTGCCCACCATCAGCGATCGGTCGGTCTTCACAACGGGTGGACGAATTAATTGGCATACCAATCATATTATCCCAATCACTTGGTCTTGGAACAAGCACTTCCGGACAGAAATAGGTATGGGGAATCTCGTTGTCAATTATGAGTCTTCCCCCGGTAGCTGATGAGATGCTGTTGAAGCCTAGGACATGTTGCCGGAATCGGTTTATGGGATCGATGATGCTGAGTTCACCACGCCATTAGTTCTAAGCAATAATACCGAACCCCCCTCAGTATCATAAACTCACGTGTTCCAGATGGTCTCCTCGATGAGCGCATAAGACAGAAGATTTGCTGTGCTTTGGTCCATGGCTTCACTCCCTTCTATATGGGCCAACTGATGAGGAAGCTTCTTTGTCGGACTCCAAATCACGGTCGACATGATATGCAGAGGAATTGAAAGTCGCTCAGCACAATGTATATGCGCGTGGGCCAACGGATTCGCAATGATCGCGTCTGCGAGGAAGGACCGGCTTTCACCTTTGTACAACGCAATGCATGCTCTCCATGAGTTGTGATAGCTTTGATATAGTGAATCCTTGATGCAACCGAGACCCTCGTTCATCCTATTAGGTCCACCTCTCCCTCCAGAACTACCGATGTCACTCTGGTGAATACCGTCAGTCAGGCAGTTTCTCCGGGGCAGTATAGGTCCAAATACATGCCATCGGATGGATCATATCGTGGCTAATCGCGAAAAAGTCAAGGCCTTGGCCTTTTACCAAGGATTCACATGAAGCATGCGCAGCAATCCGAACCCGATGTAAGTCCTGAAGCAGTCGTGTACCAACTGCAACAAACGGCTCGATATTCTCTGTTTTATCCATTATTTAGTGATGAGTCAAATGGGCAGAACAGCACGTGGAGCTTCTACCTCCAACGACCATTATCACAATGTCTAGGGGTGCCCCTCTGAGCTCCGGTCGCAGTTGTCTATCGGATAGACCATCTTCTGGCAGGGCTTGTGAATCAGATCGCAGACTTATCAACCGTGGTTGCGCTTTCGGTCGCAGAAATGCTTGAATGAATGCCGATATACGCGACCCGGATCCTAGATCAGTGCTAGGCTGCCGATTTTCTTTGGAAATGGCACAAAGAATGTTAGCAATTCTATCCAGGCATTCCACTATTCGTAGCCGTAGAAGTTGTACCACAAAATGTAGCGCAGTCACTCCCTTGTTGGAAAGTATTTGTGAAATCGGGTTCGAAATCCGGCTCCACCGTCCATAAAGAGGCCTCGGAGGAAGTAATCGAAGAAGCCCGAGGTGAATACGCTGGCGGTGGATCGGGACTATCATGCGGTGGCTGGTCACTGTCGTGCATTAGTCCATATTTTTCATCTGTCATTTTTCTTGTTCAGAAAAACTTCAACTAGGGTAAAGATTCAGCTAGTGGAAGTCGATCGGGCTCTGGTGTTCATCCTCTCGTGAAGGACAAAGTCTGCCAGGTAAGAAGGAAGTAACAAGAACAAAGCATAAAGAAAAAGACAGCGTAGATCCGCCATTCTGCTCCCAATATATGAGTTACAGTGGTTGACTATGCCTTTGTCGCGTCTTGGCCTGAAACCGAACGACTTTAATTCTGGAACTCGATGAACTATTTTCAGAAAGTAGATATCCAAAGGAGTCAATTCTATTGGCCCAAGAGAGTGGGTCTGTGAATAAGCTTGTCGGGTTCGTATTCGGCTTCGGACCTTAACTTGCCGTTGTGGCCCATATCGTTAAGGAACGTCTCGTTGGCTGCCCTCAACGTACTTGTCTGCTGTTACCATGCCAATATCCTCAATCCATAGCCAAGCTGCTTGCAAGACTACGAGTGAGCGCGCACGAAGGCTGGAAATCATCGTTCCCACCAATTCCAAGACACCAACAGTATGCGAACCGGGTCCGGATTGAAAGGGCGCCGGTCCCATCAGAAGTCACGGACCGGTTGCCAACAATGTAAGCAAAGAAAGGTCAAGGTATGTACATCAGCCTCTGAGTGCAAAAGGATATCATGTGATAGTGGAGCGGCTGATCCCACCTTAGTGTGGGGAAGAGAAACCGACTTGTGGCAACTGCAGGAGGCATGAAGTGGACTGTTCTTTTGCTGTCTCCCAGACGAAGGGCTCGACCTCAAATGATAACCAGCTATCACCCCGTAGTCGGACTATAACGCCCCTATGTACGCCCGGGGCGATCCACTCTAGTTCCCCAGGGGGTTACAGCCAACTGCAGGCAGCCGCTAGCTCTGAATTGCATATCCCAGATTTAGAGCTACTGCACCATTATACCACTTCAACCGCCTACACATTCTCGCTCCATCCACTCTTGCAAACATTCTGGCGAGTCGAGGTCCCTCGGATTGGGTTTACCGCACCATACACTCTTCGAGCAATTTTAGCTGTATCAGCCCTACATTTGGCGACTTTGCGTCCAGATCAAACGCAGTTCTACATCACACAGGTGAACACTCACCATGAAGCAGCACTGAAGTTGGCTACTCCCGAGATGGCAAACATCGGCCCGGATAACTCGGCTCCATTATTCCTTTTATCCGCCTTGTCATCATTCATCAGCTGTGCGAAACCGCTCAAATTGGGTAACTTCTTCCTTTTAGAAAACAACAATATTGCGGACTGGCTCCTGCTCATCCGAGGTACCGGGACTATCCTCGACTTTGCCGACGAGTCGCTCAAGAGGGGACCATTAGCGTCGATGTTCAGCGTACGGGCCCAACATCGGAAGTTTACAACCACCAGCCGACATCACGCTCTAGAGGAACTACGCCAGCTTATCCTGACTGAGGTCCAGGATCAACACATGGTCCATATGTATATTGGCACGCTTGATGAAATGAACAGATCATACGCGATGTGCTTGGAGCATGGCCTGCGCCTTGAGACAGCGGATGTTTTTGTCTGGCTAATACATGTGCCATATGACTTCCTAGTACTACTAAAGAACTACGAGCCCTTGGCCTTGGTCATTCTGGGTTACTTCTGCGTACTACTGCATCAGTTAGAGTGGATGTGGTGTATGAAAGGCTGGAGTACTCATCTTCTTTCGCAGATCTATGATCAACTCAGTCCAACACATCGTGTTTGGGTTCGTTGGCCGATGGAGCAAATTGGCTTTCTTCCGCCTATGTGATATCCCGCATTCGCTCAAGAAAGGAGTTTTTCTAGTTCTGATTGTCGGTAAATGGCCAAACTCATGAAATCGAATTTCTCTCGCCGTGTTTCGATTAATTCCTCCCCTCCCAGATCCTCTGGTACTTTTGAGGTATGGCTCATTCGACCTTGCATTCTCAGCCGTGAGATTGAGTAATTGCAAATACAACCAATGCAAGCCCTGGGTACCAGCAAGAATGCCATTGTTTTTTATTTCGTCCGTGAGGCTTGTGGATTTGTTTCCAGGTCAGACCAAATTTCAGCCATACTGCACGCTGGAGGGTGCATCAACAGCCCTCTATGGCGATTCTTGATCGAGTACAGCCGCTAAATTCGTGCCCCAGCCGACCGACACCCCTAGATTCAATCCAGAGACGCCTACATCGCCTATCGAAGGATGTTCTGCCGTGCATGAGATAACCCAGTTTTTAAGTCAGGCAACACCATGTCATTCCAACGGTATACCTGTGCTCAAGATTCAACACAGTGCCGCCTTCACTCACCTAATGCCTGCCAATCTCATGCTTGAGCGACGAATATTATAATGTTCCCATTCCGTCTGTAAACTAGTGGGCTTCATGCAAGGCCCTTAGGGAATCAATTTACACGGTGATAACCGTCCTAAGACTATACGGATTACCAAGAACGACCTCCGACGAGATGGTATTTGCATCTCGTTTCAGCTTGCACCAACGTAACTAGCACAAAGCCTTGCATGAATGCTATATATTCAGGTTGTTTCATATTGTAGATATACAATATTCCATTCGTGTACACGTGGTTACTACTGAGATTTGACACAAGCTGGTGAACATGGGGTCAATGGTGACTTTTCCCGGCCCGGCTATTCTCTTTACCGAAGACGGTAACTCTTGGCGTTACCCTAAGTGGAAGAATGGTAGTCGAGACATTGTAGAGTAATAACTATTTTTATTCTACAGTTGGTAGTTTATATTATTTATTCTCATGGGATTCTTGTATTATGTACTACACATAAAAAGATAAAATTGACAAAGAAGAACAAAAGAGAAAAGAAAAGGATCAACAGTATCGTCAGCAAGAACATACAGCACCTATATTAAGGCCAAGTCACAATACCCACTGGCTGCAGCGGTAGCTCTCGACAAGAATCAAAATATCATACAATATCGGAAAATTTGTATCGGATCAAGGAAGTGCTGGTCAGTGTATGCTGGAGAGCTCATGGCAGTATATTGCGCCATCAGCTTGGTTGGCCGGATAGCCCGAAAGAAGAGGCCCCAAGTACAAATTTACAATCCAAGAGCCCACAACTATCCTCACCCACAGTATATCTGCGCTACAAGCAATATCTAGTTTGTCGCACAAACTGGAACAGCAGATTAATGGGAATACTCTCCAATCAGCCAAGGAGCGGTGGCTAAAAAGCGTGGGGTTCGTCTTTCATAGGGCACAGGGACCTACACTACCCTACGGTGTCAAACGGGCGATGTTGACGGGAGATCAATACACACAGGGATTGGCCTTGCACGTTATTGGTTCTTCATGGTATTAATGTTGATCATGATTTCAAGTCGAGTAAAATAGCACTAGCATGGGCATATGCCTTGGTACGTGGATAGACACAGGAAGCCAGCCTCGCGGCCCTTTGCTGACTTGCATCAGCCCGACCAGTCAGATTGATTTCAAATTCATGGTCTGTGATGACTTTTGCGAGAACGACAGCCTATCATGAGCAGACACCCTAGCCTTGGCACACTGAAGGCGCGGCACGAAATGCTCAAGGTTTGGCAAACAAACCACCAGAGCCCCCCTCTTCGTTGCGCTTCTCCTCGAGACACTTGAAACCCCATTCTTTTCAATATTATGCAGAACCACTGAAAGGCTATCCTGGCGAAGAATAATTCAACTTTTGAGATTCAGTTGCCAAATGTAGATGCCTGCAATGGCAGAGTCTTGTCTCCCTCTTCACAAATACACAGTGGGATGGGTGTGCGCCCTCCCAGTCGAGCTCGCCGCGGCCTGCAAAATGTTGGACAAGAGGCACCGGAACCTACCTCAGGATGACAATGACAGCAACCTATACACACTTGGTTCCATTGGTGGTCATAATGTTGTGATTGCGGGCCTACCAGGAGGCGTGACAGGAACAACATCCGCTGCTGTTGTTGCTACACAGATGAAGGCCCGCTTTAAGGGTCTTCGATTCGGCCTGATGGTCGGTCTCGGTGGTGGTGTTTCAAGCCCGGATGTTGATATCCGGCTCGGTGATGTGGTTATTAGTCAACCCTCTAAGAGACATGGTGGAGTAGTCCAATACGACTTTGGCAAGACCCGGCCAGGCCAGTTTGAACGGACAGGGTTCCTGAACTCACCACCACCTGTCCTACTGAATGCCCTGACAAAACTCCAGGCGAATCAGCTACTAGACGAGGGCAATATGCAGACGTACCTCTCTCAACTGAGCACTCTCCCACATTTCTCACGCGATGATGTGGGTCCCGACATCCTGTTCGAATCAAGCTACGAGCATCCCGAGGGCCAAATGATGTGTGAAAAGTGCGATAGAGAGAAAATAGTAGCGCGAGCAAAACGAGGGCACAACGAAGTAGTGCTACATTTTGGTACCATCGCCTCGGCGAATCAGGTGATGAGGGATGGCATCACTCGGGATAAGCTGGCCTCGGAGCTCGGGGGAGTGCTTTGCTTTGAAATGGAGGCAGCGGGCCTTATGAACAACTTCCCGTGTCTTGTGATTCGAGGTATCTGTGACTACTCAGACTCGCACAAGAATAAGAAATGGCAGGGCTATGCGGCAGCAGCCGCGGCGGCGGCGGCCAAGGAAATTCTATCACTTATACCAGGGCATGTGGTGGAGGAGCCCTTTACCGTGGATGAGATTGTATAGTATATATCCTTTGTCGAATTCTTGAGATTAGATATCTAACAGCCTATTCTTGCCGCAGATATCTTTGCAACTCGCGATAGAAAATGTGAATGTTGACCAGTTTCTCAAACGAATAGTGAGCGTTGGTGTGCGGAGGCCTTGTCCGGATCTACCACCAGTCAGGTCGGACGACCCCAAGTACTGGTGGATCTCTAGGAACATCGACTTTCAGTGCTGGCAGTCCTCCGACTCCTCTCAATTTCTCTGGCTGTCAGGGCGATCTGAATGCAATATCCAGCAAGCCACGGCATTTCAGATTGGAAAGGAATTCAACAAGGCACCTGTGAAGCCAGCTTTCGTCCAATTTCACTGTTCAGATCTACTTCCCCCTCACTATTCACTCATAAAAGCTATCTCTCATTCATTGTTTCATCAGCTCATCAGCAATTTACCAGCGAACTCAAAAGACCTGGCCATCAAGGATTTCCTACGGTGTCTTTACTCAACAGCTGTCGCTAAAAGCGAAGAGCTAACCAAGCGCATCATACGTATCGATGATAAAACTTCTAAAGAGAATATCATCGACATGATTATGAGACTAGAAGACAGCCATCATTGGAGTGCGTTGAAGGCTGCTCTAACTGAGGTTAAGCAAGATCTGGTCCTTGTTTTATATCACATAGACCTGGTTAGTCCGCAAAACATTGAATCTATCCTTGATATTGTCACGTTTCTTAAGCACTTGGTCCAAAAGGCAACACGGAAAGTGAAAGTCCTCCTCACAAGCAAACCGAACGCCGAAATTAGAGAAATTCTCGCTGGAGTACCAAGCATAGAACATGACAAGGAACGTAAGGGTAAGCCGGGCGCCTTTATGTCTTTGTGTTGTCGATGTAATGTGAGTGGTACTAACAAACGTGAAAACAGAATGTCTGGCTAACCTTCGCTTCAACAACGAGCGATATGCCAAGATTGCCTCGGAGCACAACGGGTCTTTCAAGTGGATCTGGAACCATGAGCAATACAAAAAATGGTCGAAGTCGGAAAGTTCCAGTCTTTTGTACCTTCAAGGAAAGCCAGGAAGTGGTAAAAGTACCATGACGAAATATTTCACGGAAAGGCTTCTTCAGCAAGTCCAGTGCACAGAACCAGCAGCAGTAGCCAAATTCTTTTACAGTTACAGAGATGGTGAGGTACAGCTAAGTCACTATAACATGCTTCGATCAATTCTTTACGATATTCTAGATCAGGACGAGAACTTTTTCTATCATCAGCTCCAGTCCGAATATCGTGATCAGCCCCAACCGAACAAGCGTGTAGAATGGGGGTATGAATCCTTGCAAAGGACACTTTCTTCACTGGAGACGTACCGGTCCAATAAAAGGTTCTACTTGATCATAGATGCTGTGGACGAGTCTGAAGAAAATGATAGGCGGCATATCCTCGAGCTTCTATTTAACCTTTGTTGCAATGCAAAACACTGTGTCCTAAAAGTCTTTATTGCTAGCCGGCCGGTCCCAGTCCTTGAACGACGAATTAGCGAATTTCACAGTCTTATACGACTACAAGATGAGACTCAAAAGGACATCTTAGAGTTTTCCATGTCATTCCTCAATCGGCTGGAGCTGTCTAGCTACCTCGAACAAGCAAAACAGTACATTATCAGTCACGCCCAAGGCGTTTTCCTATGGGTAAAGCTGGTGGGAGACGCATTGATCGAGTTTGACGAAGAGGGTCACTCAAAAGAAGTTGTGTTCAACTTCTTGAAGAGCTTACCAACTGAGTTAGAGGAGTTCTACACACGCATGCTGCTGAAGATAACGCAGAGGAATTCCAATATTCTGAATGCCATTAAGATGCTCCAATTTGTTCTATTTACATATCGACCTCTTAGTACAATCGAACTACTGCATGCGATTGGTATTTCAGGCGACTCCTTCGAAGGGCACGGCTCTTCGGAACAGGATTTCAACGAACGAGTTCCGCAGGAACGGAGAATACTTTCATGTGGTGGTAACTTCTTGGAAATCACTGACAACAATGGTACGGTATGAATATGCACAAAGTGCTTTCATTTGATGGTTCAGAGCTGATCAAAATACAGGCTACAAAGCAGTGCAAGTAATGCATCAAACTGCCCGTGAATTCTTTCTTGGGGGTGGAGGCCTGGTTTCCCACCCAGAATTCCGGATAAAGTATCAGGACTCGCATAGTTCTATATCCATTGTTTGTCTCCAATATCTGAACTTATGTGTCGTAAATGCTGCACAACCCGGGACACCAGAAGAAACTGAATCATGGACCTATTGGCAGTTTCACTTCTATGTGGAGTATCTGGAGGGGAAACCGTTGGCAAAGTATGCACTCTGTTACCTCAAAGATCATCTCGCCATTTGTCTCAAGCTTGCGAAGGTCCAGGATAGGATTTCACGATTTAGAGAGATCGTCAAAGACCGACATGCGTTTTACCTACTTAGCCCCTGTCTAAACGACTATATAGGGCATGATTTTCCCCTTGCAGAACAGAAGGGTGCATCTAAAAGGTTCAAAGATCGACTGTTACATGTTGCATCATTGAATGGCTTTTCTACAGCAGTAGAAATTCTAATAGCTGCTGGGGCTGATATAAATGCAAAGGATGAAAAAGGAAGAACACCATGCTCGCGGGCAGCCGAGCGTGATCACTTGGCAGTAGTTCGGATTCTCGCTGAGCGGAAAGATATTGCCATAGACTTGAAGGATGAAAACGGTCGGACACCATTGTCATGGGCTGCAGAATACGCTCATAACGATGTGGTGAGCTTCTTAATGGACCTTCCGGGTGTCGAAAAAGACTCAAAAGATTCATACCGGCGGACACCAGTGCTTTGGGCGGCAAGGGAAGGCAACTTATCAGCTCTCAGGCTATTTGTGAGGCATTTCGAGACCCGTGGTGCTGGTTTAAACATCAAAGACAATGATTTAGATGCCAAGGATAACTTTGGTCGGACACCACTTTCGTGGGCAGCCGGAGCTGGTCATGAAGCAGCCGCCAGAATATTGCTAGACGAAGGTCGTGTTTGTGGCAATTCCAGGGATAATAATGGGCGCACACCACTGTCGTTGGCAGCTGAAAATGGCCATGAAGAGCTGGTCCGGCTCTTGGCTGCCAGAGAGGACGTGGTCACAGATTCAAAGGATGAAGACTGGCGTACACCATTATCGAGGGCAGCGGAGAATGGCCATGAAGCTGTTGTTAAGTTCCTCCTTAATCAACACGATGTCAACGCAGATTCGGTGGACGAAGACGGTCGTGCTCCGCTATCATGGGCTGCCGAGCATGGTCATGAAGAAATAGTCCAGATGCTAGCCGGTCGCGCGGATGTCAATGCTAACAACCCGGATACCTTCGGCCGAACACCTCTGTCGTTGGCAGCAGTGCATGGGCATGAAGGAGTGGTCAGGTTCCTGGCACACCGTCAGGGTACTTGCATCAATTCACAGGATACCAATGGATATACGGCATTAGACTTAGCAAGGAGGATGGGACATGATGTAGTAGTTGGATTATTGGAAAGTCGAACAACGCCGAACGGCGGGGAAGACGAAAGTTGGCTAATGGTGAGAGAGGATGTTGATACGCACCCGAGCAAGGCTGATACGCAGTGGCGATCCTGGTGGTCCTCCAGTAAAGGTTGTGCAAAACAAACTACAAAGCTACAGTCAGTGGCTAATAAGATAGGATTTGGCTTCAACAGGAGAAAGTGAACATTCAATCTATTCTTGTTCCTTGGATTCTAGGGTCGGGGTACATGCATTCATAGTTAGCTGGTTCTGTCAAACAGTTTGGTTTTTTTGCGAATAAAATGGGAGTATTTTGCATTGTCACCGCCACAAAAGTAAAGCGACCAGGTGGTGGTGTAAGGGAGGTTCCTATTCGTAGCATCTCACTCTATGGTTCCACAGGCCACGTCAGTATATCAGGCTGGTGAGATGTTAGACAAGCTAGGTCGATACAAGACCTCCCCCGCAGCTCACAGGAATTCACTTAAAAGCCTCTCCAATCAGAAGACCAGTCAGGAAGGAGAAGATTCATACCACAATCAATTTTCCGCATCTCAGGACCTCCACTTTACAATTCTCATGGTGATGGATTCGTCTAACCTCCGGGAGTCTGAGCTAGGGATACTCCAGCCTAGCCGGGTGTGCCATTGCGGTGATAATATTTATAAAATTGAAAAAGATGGTATGTCAATGTCCCAACCCACAAGGAGTGGGATTAATATGATGCAGATATGGGGACTGTGAGGAAAAGGAAGTCCAAACTATGCCAGGAACTGACAGTAGTCTCATCTGGTCTACTGTGTTCTACTTACATATTAACATTTGCCAGTCTGCCCGGCTAGCCACCACCACCGTAATGTACTACCTGACTGTTACATATATGATACCGAGCGTGACTGACTGATGGGACACAGCTTTGCATCTTCCACCGCCGTGGGCAACTGCGAATCGCTACATCGTGGCGACATCACTGTCGACCAGTGCATGTTGGCTACTTTAATATCGGGTTCAAATAGACACTATGATGGGGGAGCCGATGAGCCATTAGAGGAAGAAGGATATGGTAAGACTTGTGGCTCAAACTAGATCAAGCTGACACCCCATACCCAGTTCTATTTAGCAGCCTTCCGAGATCGCTATTAATGAGCCGTAAGTCCAGAGTCGCAGTTATTGTTCGTTGGTCTCCCAAAGCAACCGGTCAGTTTGTTCTATTCCTGGATCTTTCACCAAGTCTGGAAACAGAGATTCAAATAGCCCTGAAAACGGGCCGTTGGGATGATCCGTATACCTGGCATGCCCTCCTTGCTCTGGAGGTCAAGCGCCAATACCAGCACTATATTGATAACGTGGTGCAGAAGGTGGAGGTCAGTTCCACGCTGTGCTTCTCATCTTGTGCTTTAAAGCTGTACTGATACAGCTAAGGCAATATGTGCACTATCTCACTTAGCCATGGCTCCTGAAGTGCACGACTTATCGGTGGACATGGCCGACATCAACGGGGCTCTAGAAGATGCAGAAAACAGCATGCAGGATATTCATCGGCAGTTTGAGCTTCAAGCATCCCATGCCGTCATGTCAACAGAAAGCTCAATGTTGCGTCTCAACTGCTCCCAGAAGCTGCTTCTTGTGGCAAAGGACCTGAATTCTATCAGAAGTCGCGTGAACATGTTACAAAATTATCTTCAAACTCACACTATGATTGTATGAGCACTAGGCACTTTTAACTCCTATTGCTATACTTACTATGTTACAGGACAGTCAATTGATACGCAATGAAGCTATGCGTAATCTCCAACTCCCTGAAGCTGTTATTGTCTTAATGTTTCTTTTTCTCATGTATCTTCCATCGATATTTGTATCAGTAAGTGTATACATCTCTTGTTTCTGATGGTATCTAACGGCGTCAGAGCCTATTCAAGATGCATGGATTTGGCGTGATCAATTCAGGCCAAGAAAAAGGAAACATGCTGTCGATTGACTGGCTCTACTGGGTGATAACGATTCCTCTCATCCTTTCGGGATTCTCAATGGTGATATTATGCTCAAACCCCCAACGACGCAGGCTTTACCTGCGGTGGTTATTCTGGTGCACATTTAACGAACGCCCTGTAGATGAGGTCTAGCAAGAGGTAATCATGTGGATCTGACAAGTCCTGTTTATCATATTAAATTGTATAGTCATTCATGACAATGGCTTCTACATAAAATACCTGTTTTCTCTATTGGAATATCTCAATGAGAGCTTAACTAATTGATGTATGCCTAACATACTATTCTCAATGAGTCCAAAATGCTTAACGTTATACACAGAGCAATCTGGCATAAACATCATTATTGTGATTATGATTGTCATTGTTTTTGAAGTTGTTTCCCTTTGGGTCTTTTGTTTAAACCTGAATGCTAGGACCAACGGGCACGGACTACAGAGTCTTGAACATGAAGATATTCTCGAGCAGAAAAATAGGGTTTCCTGCCGCGACTTCCTATATCGCTCTTTGCGCATCGCCAAAGTTATGGAATTTGCGTGAAACCATAATATTTCGAACCATCTGGATCATAAGTCGAAGAAAAAGTGAAGGGATCCGCGGACAGCACCGGTTCTGCTTAGCGGCGAAGGGAGGTGCCATCCTGGTCACTACCTTCTCTGGAAGATCAATTTCAGAGGACCAGGGACAACTGTAAACGCATCAACCGTGTCATCTAGGAATGCATCATCACTATGATCAGGTGCAAAAGTGATATTATACCGCGTTAATATCTCTGCAAGCACTCGTCGAATTTCCATGAAGGCAAGCTGTTTTCCTGCACAGACGTAAGACCCTAAAGACCCAAGTCAGCAGTGCGTTCTGTTCAAAAAGTATAAATAATACATACCTCCTCCAAAGGGGAAAAAGGCCGATGGGTCTTTGACGAGCTCGGATCTGGTAGTCCATCTTTCAGGAATGAACTCGGTCGGTTGTGCGAATACACGCTCATCTGGACGGCGTCAAACACTCTCAGTATGGCAATATTTCCGTCGAAGAGATCTACCCACCTCTAAATAAGGTATGCATAGGTATGCAGACCGTGACGTCTCCCGGAATATAAGTGTCATTTATTTGTAGACCTTCCGGCGGAGTTAATCGCTGAAGACCGGAAGGTACAGCTGGATGCAAGCGAAGAGTCTCATTGATCACCGCCTCGAGCAGCTTGACCCCTTTCAAGCTCTCCTGTGTCAAATCTTTCAGTGCATCCAGCTCGGCTTGAAGAGTCTTATAAAGAGCATGGTCTTTGGCAAGGTGGAAGAACATATTGGTCATTGTGGCGGATGTCGTGTCGCTATAGCCGTAATCAGTTAAATTCGTCCTTCTCCGTTGTTTTAGGGCGGCTGTACCTTCCAGCAACACAGATGAGCTCGGCATCGCAGGTAAGATTGGCATAGTCTTGCTTGGTCTTGGGGCCTTTTTCGTATCCGTGAAGAACCCATGAAAAGATATCTGGTCTGTCAGGCGGATTCTGTCTCCAAGAATGGTTCAGCTCCAGTTGATAAATAATGATCTGAGGAAATGTACGTTGATTCTCATATCCACCTGCTCCCCGAGCCATTGTATGTTTTTCAAATATTCAACATTCAACCCTGGGATTCTCTTAAAAAATGGAAAGATCCATGACAGATGGCTGGTAAGGCCGATAGCTTTCATATTGCCACGCAGCTGAGTGAGAAAATATTGGTCTTTGGCTTCTGCCAGCATGTTAAATCCCTTACCAAATGCTAGATCACCCATCACGTCGAATGAACAATAGGTAAACCATTGCGTCATATTCATAGACTGGCCTAGGCGGCTGTCTATCGCATTCAGAAGTTGAGTCGCATAGTACGAGAGACGCGGCTCGTAATCTTCCAACGCTAGATTGGACAAGGTTTAGCGATGTGATATCCACAGTGTTGAGGTTGTCGTACCTTGTAAGCTAAATCCATGGTCCCACACTTTTCTCTGCATTGCATGTACTTTCTTATCTCGGACTGTCTCAAGGGATAGCCGTGGCTCACTGCAGGTGTACCATACACCCTTGGAGACCTTGGCAGACGAGCCATAGATCGGCTTTACAGCTGCGGGATCTCTAATTGACAACTCCGTTGGACCTGTACATGCCGACTAATGAACAGGCGAACAAGTAACACTGGGTAAGCACTGACCTATCCGCACATAATCGCCGTGCTTCTTATGCAGCTTCTCGGTTTCTTCAAAGAGACGTAATTTCTTGGCGGCCAGCGAGGTCACATAGAAGTTGGAAAGTCGGGCGAGAAACGGGCCAGGGAACCGATTGAGCCGATGGAATGCTGCGCGGTAGAGCAACATGCTCGTATAGACACCCAGAATATGATACTTGACGATATCCAAAGCCCAGTTGGGCCGTTGTAGAACTTCGGTTGCAGGAAGGATTGATGAATATTGTAGCGCGACCAGGCCAAGCGTCAGAACAATGTAGAAGATAGCCATGTCAACACCCTTTAGATCCCATTCACCATGGCGATATAGCAGATGGTGAACACTGACACCACTCAATCCTGCCAGGGCTGGCAGGACGCTTAGCGAGCGCAGAAACATGCTTTCACAGTGACTGAACCCAGGACCTTCTACTAAAGTGCTAAGAGTGAGGCTAAGAGGGACACCACTTCTATTTCAACTACTCTAGGCTCGTCAGAAGAGATGGGGCTCTAGTAGCGGGGCTTGGAGGGCCTGATGATGGCTGGCCTAAGGATGGCTTGGAAGTGGAAAAGTTTGGCACTTCCGTCAATCACCAAATGGCCCAAATTGCAAATTTTAACGGTTGCAAAACTAGATAGCAACTACGAATGATAACTAGCCAAGTAAACCCTTATTTACTCTAGCAGGTTCATGACTACTAATTGGTTAACAAGGAAGAGTGGCGCTAGCTTTGGGGGCTGAAATGAAGTGAGAGCATGATAAGAAAATATCATTCGGTAAAGACGAAAGTACTATTCGTACCTCTCTAAATATACGGTAGGGCATCTATATAAAGAGGCTATGTGAATAAAGCAACGAAATTGTGTATAATCTAGATGGGATTCCAGTATGGTTCTTGTACAGCCAAGTTGTTGCTTCACACTCTTCTCTTAATTCGGGGCCCTCCGCCAAGGCGCTAGCTTGAGAAAGGAGTACGTACAGTTATGGAGTCGATAGAGACTTAGGTTCTCGATTTATATGATTGGTATAAAGTACTAGACAAAACAGAAATTCCTCACCTCCCCAATGAAGGTAAGGCGGAGGTCGACTCGTCACGAGTGAAAGACTGGTGGTAAATTGTAAGCATAAGCGCCCTTGATCACCGTGACTGGGAATTCACATAAGTATGGCCATTCGCCTAATATATATTCTCGATTTCAGCATTCAACCCGCTGACTCTTAGGAATAAAGCAACTGTAAGATGACTGTGCAATGGATCTTATTCAAAGATTCATGGATATACTACTAGTAGTAGTTGCCCTGAACCCAGATATCACATGACCCGTATCCAATCCAGATGGCGAGTGTCATGGGCTTCGTGTTGCTGCTGATTGGTTGCTCTCTGACAAGCCCGAGTGAAGTCCGCCGTACCTCCATCTATACCACCTCAATATCTTAGTAAATTCACTTATTGCGACTAATTTAGTAAATCGAAACAGCAACATTCTTCTTGATCGGCGTCTCTATCGCAGCCACCGTCATCCAGGCCTATGCATGATCTCTTCAATGCGATGAACATCGCCAGTAGGATAAAACGATCAGCATGTTGTCATCCTACCAGAACTGGTAATGTCAATGTGGAAATAAGTCAATGCCATAATAGGGGCCTATTCAATCGATATAGACATATAATGCCATTTACACTGAGTCTAGGATGCTTAACATTGTGTACAAAGAAATTAAATGTTAGTATTATAATTACCCTGGTGATGATTGTTATGATGGTTGTTTTGTTGTTTTGTTTGAACCCGAATCGCGGATATATATATAATCGGTCCATTTTGCACCGAAAAATTGCCGAGATATATATATTTTTCCGGCGGGCCGATCCAATAGCCTTCACATGCAGTTACGGAACAAATGTCGGCAAAATCGGGGGGTTCTTCCAGAACATATATCAGCCATTGAGACAAAACACTTCTTCCTCATCTTGCCAATAGGAATGCAGCTTTTAGTATTAAATGCCCGTAGGTACACCTCTAAAACGGTTATTCATCGCCAGTTGCCTTGAAAATAAATATTCACAATTTACACCTATTGAAACATGCGACATGACGGCCTCAAGAACCGAGGGAATAAAAGCTAGAACAAGGGGAAATAAAAGGAAGGATACAAAAGAGAACCACCGAAGAAGACATATCTCAGAATATATAACAAACACTCCTTTACTTTTTATCCACTACCGCTTAATGAGTGGCCATCAACTTCTTGATCTCCGCAATAGCACGGGCGGGGTTCAGGCCCTTGGGGCAAGTCCGCGAGCAGTTAAGAATGGTGTGGCAACGGTAGACGCTCATGCTGTTATCCAGGGCGTGCTTGCGCTCAGCGGTCTTCTCGTCACGGGAATCGGCCAACCAACGGTACGACTGGAGGAGGATAGCAGGTCCGAGGTATTCCTCGCTGTTCCACCAGTACGAGGGGCAGGAGGTGGAGCAGCAGGCACACAGAATGCACTCGTAGAGACCATCCAGCTTCTTGCGGTCTTCGGGACTTTGACGGTATTCAAGGCCCTACGTATATGTTAGAACAGATCACCATCACTGTCGGAGGTCTGTAACAAGATGTAGGGACTTACATCTTCGGTCTTCGTGTCGCGCTGCAGGTAAGGCTTGATCGACTTGTATTGCTTGTAGAACTGGGTCAGATCGGGTACCAGATCCTTGACAACGTAGGTGTGAGGCAGAGGGTAGATGCGAGACTCCTTCGCGGTGTCGGTAGGAATGCGGCCTATAGATAGCACAGTCAACGCCCCAATTCCTCCATAGGTGTGCTTCAAAGTTGGCGAGTTACGTACACAAGCAGGCGAGAGTGTTGACACCATCGATGTTCATAGCACAGCTTCCACAGATACCCTCACGGCAACTTCTCCGGAAAGTCAGGGTGGGGTCCATCTCGTTCTTGATGCGAATAAGGGCGTCGAGCATCATGGGTCCGGTCTTGTTGAGGTCCAGGGAGTAGGACTGCATCTTGGGCTTCTCGGTCGGCTGGTCAGGGTTCCAGCGGTAGACATGGAAAGTCTTGGTGCGAGGCGTCTCGGATGGGTTGGGATCCTGTGCAGTTCAAGTCTTAGATTGGTGAACAGTCTTAGAACTGGCATAACCGGTCCCGCTCACCTGAGCAGCGGCATCGACAGTCGCATAGGAGCGAGCGAAGACAGCCGGGCGGAAAAGAGGCTTCGAGGATGCGACAAGGCGCGAGGTTGAGCGAAGAGCAGCCATGGCGGGCGAAAGGACACTGGACGCGCAAAAAGAGGAAATGGGATGAAAATGGGATAAGAAGCGGGGAGAGGCGGAGAAGATGGAGGAAAAGAGGGTAGCAATGGTCAATAGAGAGAGGAGAGGGGCGGTCAAGTCAACCAAATGAACAGCCAGCCAGCGGCAGCGACGAGATGAAGTCGAAGGGAGTTGGAGAATGCTGTTTGTGAGCTTTACCCAAGAGGTAACCTCGGGTTTGACGGCCGGCAGACGGCTGACTCAGCTGACGGGCCAATCAGGCAAAAGCTAATTGCAAGCGTCGGGGATACACGGCGATTCTTCACTCGTTCTTTGGGGAAATTCAATTCCCTTTCCTCGCACGTGAGAAGCGAGACAACTTACGACGGCAGAATTACTGCTTGCGATCAACATCTATATCAATCATCGTGACCGATCGGTCAGAGAACTAGGTAAACACAACCAAGACACACCCAGAACACGCTCTCCAATCCCTCTGCTCTTCTTATTACATCACGAATGAATTTGCCTTTGCCCATTGCCGCTTACCCAAAGGGGAAACGGAACCGAGTCCAGTTGCCGTCTCGACCGTGAAGGCTGAGGCATGCACTGGGAAGCCGCCTGAGGCATATAGCCGCCGCCTGAGGCATAAAGGCTTCTCCCCAACTATGGACCATTCCTGTTCCGGAAGAGCCCGCAGATTAGGTTCAATTGGATCAATCATTGGGCGGTCTTTGGCCCTTGATGCTAGTAAATACACTCGTCGCACAGTTCAGATACCTGAAGCATAGCGAGCTCGAATAAGAGACTGTCAACCACCCCCCGTTGGAATATTTACTTCTGCTGGACAAGATTGCAAGTTGGTTGATATTCATATACCGTTTCTTCCCAGCTGCGGACTACGGAACATTCTTTTCTTTGGCACTAAAAGAGACTATCGTATTCTCTCCCCCCTTTAATTAATTGACCTGTCTAGAAGCAAATAGGATCAGCCAATTGTGGCGACTAATCCACCATAAGCCAGCCCACTGCACATTGTCTCATCTCTGAAAGAGGCTGTCATTCGAGATTATTACGAGCTTGAAGGTTGCTTCTACGGTTGGTACGAAGGAAGATCGACTTAACTCCTGCTCCGCAGGGTGTTATTCTTTGCCTACTGGAAGAAATGGGTTTTCCCGGAGAAGAGAACGACCCATTCACATCAGTATAGCAATTGCTGAAAATATCTACGAATGTTCATGCTTATGGACGAATGATAACTATTACGGTCATTTCCTTGGAAGAACAAGAATGTCGCAAGCCAACATGTATGGCAGCATGGACTGGTTATGTCTAACTATGGATATTTGAGTGAAGCGCGTTCCGGAGAAAAGAAATCCACCGAGTGTACTGCAGTGATTCCCATTCACTACGCTGCTGTTTTACTTTGAATGCTTTTTAATGTCATTGAAAACGATTGACTCCCTATTATTACTTGTGGATCAGCTGTTTAAGACAGTGCTGTCAGCGTTCTAGACAGAAGGGAGGTTCTCAACAGGGATAGGGGAGCCAAGACAAATGTTAACGGGTGCTGAATGATAAGTAATCCAAATAGGCCTTCGTATGCCGATGGTTTACAACATGGGAGATATGCCGATACCCCCTAAGTCAAATTAATTGCAGTAATTGAGATGCGAGTGACAAGGCACTCGGGTTCTCGCCGCATGTGCTATGTCCATGACTTTGTGCTTGCCCACCACACTTTTGAAAAGGTATTACCAGGACTCTAAGAGTTATAAGGTAAGCGGATAGCTCGGAGTTTACTCGTGTCTGAATTTATTTTCAAGGTTTTATTATCCGAAAGCTTTTCAAACCGTTGTTGATGCGGATCTGATATCGTCAGGACCCGAAAGCCCGAGCGGCCCACTGTGGACCGATTTTGCAGCATTTTCTGAGGGCCAACACAAAAGTAGCTATTGCTCCGTCGCCCTGAGCACCATTTTTTAGGCATGTTAGAGCGATGATGGGAAGGGGACCTGGTAGAAGGTAGAGAATGAATCACCTTTGCATAAATAGCAGGTCGCAAGGAGCGAAAAGCTACTGCTGAGAAGGGAAGAAAGAAGAGCTTAAATACGTTGATCAACTGCACAGGGCAATGCTGATCTCTCAACCCTATTTCAGGTATGCCGTATGAATGTACTACATCACGTCTCAAGAGTTCTCTACACGCAATGCCACTTGAGGACGTGGTTTCGGTAGATCTCCGGCTGCTTTAGAAACCAAATGCCAAGCCGGAGAAATGGCCCCATAGTGAGTATAAATTTGTGTCGTCCGAGACTAAAACTTTTAGACTACCGGACTAAGAAAGCCGAAGTGGCAATCGTGAAACACCATTGATGACCCTTTACTCTTCCTCCACCAAATAGCTTCAACAACCATTATTGGCCGCCTTGGGTGGTGTATCTCAGGATGCTCCATTCAGGGGAACATGGATAAGCATCAGCTAGAGTTCGTGCCTTGTTCCTCGCCCGCCAATAACCCTACTGGCTTCCAATCCAGGCTGTAACGGACTGATAAAGAAGTGGAGCCCTGATACCTCCGGTGGACAGAATGGATCACTCGATATAAGATTACTCAGGCATTGTGTGCCCCAGCAGACTGGGACAGGGTTTTACTTTGCAGCACCGGCCTGGAGTTTGCCGGACGTTTCATGTCTAGTCTCCGCTTAGTTCTATTCTAGAAACATAATATGATCAAAAGGGTGTTGCCTTTCGCATCTCCACCGAGTGATTGAGCTCCTACATATAAAGCTGGGAACCTTCGTTCTGTTGTTCCGCAGTATTCAACCCATTCCTTCTTTATCATTCACTTTGTAGTCCTTCCTTTCTTTTCATTTGTCTTTCTTTCGAACATGAAGTACGCGTCTTTCATCGCCGCTGCTGCGGCTGCGCTCGCCAGCGCCGTTAGCGCCGCCGGCGTTTCTGGTGCTGCTGAGGGTTTCGCCAAGGGTGTTACTGGTGGTGGCAGCGCTACCCCCGTGTACCCTTCCACCACCGATGAGCTGGTCTCATACCTCGGTGACAGCCAGCCGCGTGTTATCATCCTCACCAAGACCTTCGACTTCACCAACACCGAGGGCACCGAGACTAGCTCGGGCTGCGCTCCCTGGGGTACTGCCTCCGGTTGCCAGCTTGCCATCAACAAGGACAACTGGTGCAACAACTACGAGCCCAACGCTCCTAAAGTGAGCAGCATCACCTACAACAAGGCCGGTGTTCTCGGTATCACCATCAACTCCAACAAGTCCCTCGTCGGCCAGGGTAGTGCCGGTGTCATCAAGGGCCGTGGTCTCCGTATTGTCAGTGGCGCCCAGAACGTCATCATCCAGTATGTATTCTCGGATCTTGCGTCGTCCACAGCCCATACTAATTGCGACACAGGAACGTTGCTATCACCGACATCAACCCCCAGTACGTCTGGGGTGGTGATGCCATCACTCTGAACGAGGCCGACCTTGTCTGGATCGACCACGTTACCACTGCCCGTATCGCCCGTCAGCACATCGTCCTCGGTACCCAGGCTGACAACCGTGTCACCATCTCCAACTCCCTCATCGACGGTCGCACCGACTACTCCGCTACCTGCAACGGCCACCACTACTGGGGTGTCTACCTTACCGGCTCCAACGACATGGTCACCATGAAGGGCAACTACTTCTACTACACCTCCGGCCGTATGCCCAAGGTCCAGGGCAACACCCTCCTCCACGCCGTCAACAACTACTTCCACAACATCGAGGGCCACGGCTTCGAGATCGGCTCCGGTGGCTACGTCCTCGCCGAGGGTAACGCTTTCCAGAACGTCGACGCCCCCGTTGAGTCCCCCATCAGCGGACAGCTCTTCAGCGCCCCCGATGCCACCACCAACGAGCAGTGCAAGTCCGTCTTCGGCCGTGCTTGCCAGATCAACGCTTTCGGCAGCTCCGGCTCCTTCAGCCAGGCTGATACCGCCGTCATCTCTAAGTTCGCTGGCAAGAACATCGCTGGTTCTCACCTTGCTCAGAACATCCCCCGGTGGGTCATGGCCAACGCTGGTCAGGGCAAGCTCTAGATCATTGATTAAGAGATTTCAATTCAAACAGTGGGTGTGGGTCAGAATGTTGAAGGGTTTGGGGACGATAATTAATCTTCGTGTATCTACTTCTTTTTAATACCTTAGCAAGCTACAATATTATAGACTTGGCTTGAATCTTTGCGTTGATTTTATGATATGTAGAAATGTACGGCATCACCAGCTATGAGAGACTATCATGTCGAGCATGTTCTTGTTTCTCAGAGTCGCCATGAAATGATTCTACTGGCATTGTTGAATTTGCTTCGATTTAACTGTGCCTTACGTCCTCAAACCGTGATATCATCGTGCCGAGAGCGGTATGAACATTAATTTGACAGCTCATCATGACAATATTCCCCACAGGTTGAACGTAAATAACATGAACCTATAGCACAGAGTATCATTATCTGGTCTAGAGATGATACATAGCGCCGCACAGTTAGTCGAAAGGTCGTCGAAAGCGTACGGCGAGGGTCGGAAAGTGTGTGACCCCTGTACGTTATAGATACCCCGTATACCTCCGCAGTATTACGATGATCGACTAGGGCTACACAGGGTCCATGATCGTCGGTGGAACTATCAGGTCAATATAAGATCAACGATATAACCTCAAGAGGAAAGGATGTACGAACACACCCACCGGCCCACATGTTGTCTGCTCTCACGCCCTGTACGCGTAATGCCGACGATCTTGTCGATCCGCGTCTACATGAAACGTTTCCTATCTTAAATACAACGTGCACGTCTGTTTCCTGTGAGAAGTTCAATCATTAGACTCTCCATCAAATGTAGGACATGGAAAGCGCCAATATCATCGTTTCCAACTGTTCACGGCACTCCATTGCACGACTCACGAACAATGCTACAAAGGCGAAACTAATTAACAATAATCAACCCAGGCCCAAAGAGCGTCTCCTGAGCAACGTCATTAACACCAGCAAAAGGACCAGCACTCTTCGTCACAGCGGCGATAGTCAACCCGCTCATCAGATTCTCATCGTACGGGAAGAGAGCCTTCGCGACAACCTTTTTACCACCCTTATACGACACAGTCTTTAGCTTCTCCACAATGGGAACATTCAATTGATTGATATAAGTCAACCACAGCTTATCTCCCTTAACCTCGTCCTCCGACTCCCAACTGACGAGAATAAATTGTGTCTTCGGCTCCGGCGGCGTGAGAATGTCTAGTGGCTTGAACGTCGTCAACGCGATATCATCTAGATTAGGGCAAGATCCCGGAACTGTAAAGGCTTGAACAGCTGTGAAGGCGAAATTTACATCGCCGGTTGTGAGCGTCGGAAGTTCGCTAGGGATTTTGCCCTGGTTGACTCGGAACCACCCTTGTTGTTCTCCTTCGTTGCCGATCGTCGCGGCGATGACTCGCGTGAGGTCGACGTCGCTATTGTCTGCGAATCGCACGATCACGTCTTGTAATGTGGTAATGACAAGATCGGTGAAGGTAGCTGCTAGAGTAATGGCTGCGTCGAAGTCCGAGACGGGGAAATGGTAGCGGCATGGTTGGATTGGCTCTATCTTGAAATGCTCGAGGCCTTGGTTGGCGGTTAAGGCGTGGAGTTCCTCTTGCTGGAAGAATTTGTTAGGAAAGGTTGCCGCATGCGCTAGGATGAATGCTACTCACAGCGAGGATGGCTACCAGGGTGTCGATTATGAAATCTCGTTTCTTGGGATTTGGAATTTGATAGCCAGGTACGTTCTTCGTGATGTTCAAGAGTAACTCGTTGAAGAAGGCGACTTCAAACAGCTCATTGAACGCTATCAGCTGGAGATTTGTGATTCCGTCCTTGCTGATCTTTGATGGAAGGGGCGTGTTTGGTAGAGTGCCATGCGCTCTTAGCTGAATTTTCTTCAGCTGCTCTTCACTGGGATTTGGCATGCCATCGGGAAGGGGTAGCTCAACATGGGGCCAGAGGCTTGGAATTGCGAGGCTATGGGATACCACAGAGACCAAAAGGATGATGATGATGTGAACATTGAGTCGCATCTTGACGTAGGATAAGCGAATGATGACTCCTTGAGATTGCTGTGACTGAATCGAACAACAGGACTGTCTCGAGTATAAGACCAGATGAATGTTTGCTTTTAGCAATGGTCGTGCGACTGCATAGAGGGAAAGAGAAACTCCGAGTTACACAGCAGAATGTAATGTGTTGTCTACACTACTGAACCTGTATACCGTATTTAGAAATCAATGAAGCTCCTGAATCCTACAAATATGAGCGCAAGGCGCGTGTGCCTTATGCCTTCATCATGAAGCATACACGTACGTCATTTAGTCTCCTTCTCTTCAGATCCTCATTTCTCCCCTATGGTAAAAGTCAGGGGTTATGAGGTCACAATACAATAGGATGCCTAGTATGAGAGCCTTTAAATTTCTTGCCTTCTCTCATCCCTTTCCTCTCCACCATCTCCCCCACACACACACACAAAACTACACACACTCACACTCACACTTACCCTCTTTTACACATCTCTCAGTCTACTCAGGATAAACACTCCTGCCATGGCACAGGGACACAAAATCCAAAATCTGCTCTTTAAGCTCAAGCGCCTTGCATCGAAGACCAAGAAGGTCCGATTCCAAAAGCCCGCTGATGAGGAAAAGTCCTCTTCAGAGTCTGACACTGAGAGCTTTGGAAGTCCCTTGGAGAGAGTACCCACACCTTACTACTATGAGATAAAGCCCGCTCTAAAGACGAAGTCGGTTCTGAAGATGGAGCCCATTTTGGAGATGAAATCTGAGCCTGAGCCTTATGGATTGAGAAGGGTGCCCACCTCCTATCCTTCCTTCATGACAACTGGAAGAGTGAACTGCACGAAGTGATCCCAAGGATGCTGGCGGTTGAAGTCCTGTCTGCATGTGTTTGTATTTTGTCGTTTTTACTTATTTGACACACCCTGTCTTTCTGAAAGCTCATGTTAACGGGTGCTGTTTCATTTGCTCAAGCGAAAAGGATTTGGTTACTATCATATCATGTATTACGCATATTCCTTTAGTGGAATGTTTTTGATGTTAGTTATAAGAAATCGGCTGCTCAACATAAACTGTTAGCAACAATCGGTCTACTGGTTATTCCAATTGGATCATCGTTCTTTTTCTTGTAGGTACTTCAGCGGCTCATCCTGGCGTCATGTTAATGAGCTCATGGGTTGCTACCTGTTGGATCTCTGTATGGTAACGAGCGCGCGGTAAACTTACTATAAGAGAATGGATGATTCAGCGAGCCTCTGGCATGTGTGCATAAAGTGTAATGAAATATGACCAGTCCAGTATGAAGAGCTAGAAGTTGTACATACAAATGTCTAAGAACGGAAAGTGTATAACAACACGCTAGTCGCTAAAGCAGCAAGGAAGAAAATGAAGAAGAAAATAAAAATAAAAATAAGGAGAATCACACAAAATAGGTTCAATCATAAGAAATAAAAAGAACCAATAAAACAATTGACAAGAAAACGAAGTAATCGCGGGCCTTTTTTTATCTTTTCCATTTTTCGACCGGTGTCACCGGATCTCCGGTCAACGGTCAATATTTTGCTGCTAACTTTCGGCGATTTTGGCCATCCTCAACTTCAGCTCGCGGAAGCATAGTTATAGCTGCTGTAGTAGGGACTCGGAGTGTAACAACTGTAAGACGAATTTCCATAAGAAGAAGTGTTCCCGTACGGGGAAGTATTTGTGTAAGAAGACGCATTCGCATAGCTGGATGAGTTTGTATAGGATGAAGTAGCATAGGATGGCGAGCTCCCGTAAGAGGACGTAGTCGCGTAGTTGTAGCCATATGAAGGACTCTGAGAGTAATCGCCATAAGACGGGGTTGAATTCTGCGTACTTCTCCCCATGGAGCTGAAGATGCTCGGCGGGGAGTAAGCAGATAAGGGAGAGCTGCTCGAGGATGCCAACACGCCGATGGAACTATACGCGAGTGGCGTGGATGACTGAGGACGAGTCGTCGTGGGAAGGGAGAACTGGTATTGGCTTTTCACGCTGGACTTAAATTCCGTTGGCTGGAAGGTGGTCGCTCGTGGGTCGAGGACCTTTTTCGAGCCGGGCAAGGAATTGCTCCAGCGGGATTGAGATAGCCCAGCGGGTTTTGCCTCGACTGGCTTTGGCTCAGGCTTCTTAACCTCCCTCTCAGGCTCGGGTTGTTGGTGGCTTTTGCTGACTGTGGGAATGGCTTCCGTGGTGGCTTTCTTTTCTTCCTCGACGGGCTTCTCTTGCTTCTCCTCGTCTGCCCATGCTGCGCTTTTCTGTGTCTCTTCTTCCCATGTTGTGCTGGCTGGCTTCTGTTCTTCCTGCTGGGGTTCCTCCTGCTTCGCCTCTTCCAGCTGTGCGATCTTCTGGTTCTCCTTGCGCTGAACCACCTGCTTCTCTTCTTGATTCTCAGTGATATCCTCAATCCACTGTGTAGAGGCGCCCTCGTCCTCTTTCTCCTCAACCACATCAACGTCCACCTTCTCATCAATTTCCTCCTGTTCCACAGGCTTCTCGCAGACCTCCACCTCATCCTCATCTTGCTCCCACCTCTCCTCCACAGTCTCTCCATCTCCCTCGCCCTCCAATTCCTCAACCTCCCCAACCGCCACAGACACCTCATCCTCACCCAAAGAACATCCAACCTGATAAGCCTCCACACCAACAACAACCCCGCCATCAAGATCCCCGAACCCCTTCTCACTCTCTACCTCCTCATCCAAGCTCTCCTTGACTAAGCGCTCCTCAACATAGTCCAGAGCCACACACTCATCAACCCCATTAACCATCTTCACCTCTCCAACCTGCACCCCCTCATTCTCTCCATCTTGCGTCCCAGACTCCCTAATAATCTGCTCCACAATCTTCGCCGAAATATTCCGGACCTCCTGTCGCCGGCGCTGGCGCTCTCGTTCCCGCCGAGTAGTCCGCCGCTCCTCGACAGAGTCCTGGTACAGGGTGAACCTGGTCTTGAACCAGAGGGTGAAGACCGAGGCTAGGACGA